ACACTTTTCAAACTCCCAGATCCGCCTCTGCATCGTGTTTGCAGAATAGTCATTATTGCCAACCTCTTGGAAACGAYCTTCTGTACATGGCAATCGGTTACAGAGACAGTTTTCTCATAACCACGTGTGTACATCCTAATAAACCCTCGTGTTTTTTTTACTTGAAGTACGCCGAGTGCATACCATTATTTCAGAAGTCTTTGGAATTAAATGCTCTTCAGGTTAGTAAACGAAAAAKAAATCACTTCTTGTGAAATTTCCTTTACTTTGAACATTGACCCTCTCGAGATAACGAGTCTATCTGAAAGAAACCACAGGTACGGCGCTCTGTTAAAGGTGCTGCACACGGTGCAACATTGCAAGCAATAAATTTTAATTGGGGTGACACACATTGCAACGAAATCACGCAACATCGCTTGTGTCAGCCTGCTATGTTAAGATAGTTGGTCAGCAGTTATAAATTTAGTGCAAGCTGATTGGCTGGAAATTTCAAAATGTTATAATAATAATAATAATAATAATAATAATAATAATAATAACTTTATTTACAGAGGGTAAAAACACTTTACAGTAATAAACTGATAAACTAGTGGCCCTCAAGCTATATATAAATATAATAAAGTACAATAATATGAGTATTTAAGAAAAATGTTGCAGGTAATGTTGCAGCCATGYTCATATGATGAAATTTATTGCGCTCATTGTTGCAATAGTAGAGCGTGATTCAACTTCAGATTTGTTGCGTGCAACGTTGCGTGCAACAAGTTTGGGTAGACACGCTGCAACAGTCCTGTTGCGTGCAAAGTTGCATGCAATACTGCACCTTGTGTCAGCACCTTAAGTAAATGCGCCCGTCGTGGTTGTCGGTTCGATTCTCTGACTCGTCCATTTCTAAGYAGAGTTGCTTGTTGCTTCGTCCAACCTTCGGGGTTCAGTAAAAATCAACTATTTCAAAGTCCAATACGTTTTCGTACCTATAGGTCCTCGGTTTCCTTCCATACGACGGGAACCGAGGAGCTCTTGATGCGAAAAGGATTTCAATTTAATTATTCAACGAGGACTTCATTAAGGTTTGTTAAGCAATATCGTGTCATCTTCGCAAATTAAGAGATTTTTAGTTATATCTTTCTTTTGTTTGCTTTTCCAGGAAGGAATATGGTTTTCACTGGGTTGTGCTGCCATGTCTGTCGGCAAGTCTGAACTGGCAAGGACGGCTTTCCACCGTTGTGTATCTATCGACTCAGATGTAAATATGTTGAACTGTTTCCTTGTCAAATGATACGCCATAGACAGCTCCTTGCATGTGACGTCAAAGCAGCCCCCAATTCGAGCTGCATTCCGACGTGCTGCAAGGGGACTATAGACCTTTCCMGAAATCTCTTGAATGACCACAAAATAATACAGAAAATGTATGAACACATCAAGTCAACCTCGACTTGGACCCATTGTTTCGTGGTCATTCAGGYGAATCAAGGAAAGGTCTATTGGGTTTTCCTCTGACCTATGGAATACTGATTGCTTTGCTTTTATACTGTTCATCAGTTTTGTCTTTTGTTTCTCGTTTAAAGAACGCCGAAGCATGGAACAATCTTGCAAATGTCTATCTCCAGYTGAAAAACAAGTAAGTTTAATTTATCCCAACATTCTTTTGTACATGCTTCATTCCCAAGTGAATCGAGCTTTTCTGACTCTGGATTCAAAGATTTTCTTACTAAAAGTTAATAGTCCCTTCCACAKTTCCCTGCGCCATCTTGAAAGGTAGCCGTGTCTTACATCGAAACGAGACGAACGGTGGGCATGCAATGATAGAGACCTTTTTTAACAAYTTGGGAAATTATTCACATGTCTCTATCATTGCAAGCTCACTTCGTCTCACTTCGATGCAAAGGCACGGCTACCTTTCAAGATAGCGCAGGGAACTGTGAAGGGGATTTTTYTTATAAGAATAAAAATCACGAAACTCCCGGTAAGCGAGACATGAAAGTTTGCAAATAACCTTCTAAAGTTACCTGATGGAAAGTCACCGCGCACTGTACTGGTCAGCTGCAGGTTCTTTGGCAGTTAGCGCGACTGGCGAAAGCAAGACACAGAAGGAAAACCATAAAATACTTAGCCGCCATGTTGGTGGATAGAACAAGTGGAACCAGCGAAAAAAACCTCAGTTTTGTTTAATTCTTCTTACTTGCGTCACATGTATGACTGGAATTTTTGTATCGTTTAAGGGAAAAAGCGCATGCTGTACTCAAAGAAGCACTGCGAGCCAGTTATGAGAATTGGCGTATGTGGGCGAACTACTTGGTGGTATGTATACGAACACTATGGGATCCAGGGCTTCTCGTCCATTTTATCTGACTCCTCATGTATAGCGAATGCGCCAGTCATGCGGGATACTCCTTAACCTCTTGCGATACCGTCAAAAAAAAAACATGACTGTTTATCGAAACCCTGAAGGCTAATCAAAGTCAAGGCATGGCTAACTAGCAGATCGAACCCTGAAACAACCTCTGGGCTAATCCAAGACAGAGTACTGCTAACTCGCAGATGGAACCCTGATCCCACCTCTGGGCTGATCTGAGTCAGGGCATGGCTAACTCACAGATAGAACCCTGAAACAACCTCTGGGCTGATCTAAATCAGTGCATGGCTAACTCACAGATCGAAACCTGAAACAACCTCTGGGCTGAACAAAGTAAGGGCACAGCTAAATCGCAGATCGAACCCTGATTCTACCTCTGGGTTGATCTGAGTCAGGGCATGGCTAACTCACAGATTGAACCCTGAAACAACCTCTGGGCTGATCTAAATCAGGGCATGGCTAACTCACAGATTGAACCCTGATTCTACCTCTGGGTTGATCTAAGTCAAGGCAAGGCTAACTCACAGACCAAACCTTTTAACAAACTCTGGTGTGATCTAATTCAGGGCACGCCTATTTCACAGATCGAATTAAAATTTAGCTTTTTAGCTTGTGTGACCGGGAGTGAAAACCGGAGATCCCGGAGAAAAACCGTCAAAAAACACACTTTAGGTATTTTAACAAATTCATTATTTCCCCAGATCAGCACGCAGATATGCGCGTATAATGATTCTATTTTCGCCTTTCATCGACTAATGGACTTGAAAGAGAAGTACAAAGATGTAGAGGTAGGAGCAATAGCACTGTCTACTACTTAAAGGGAGGCAAAATGTTCAAACGCCAAAAAACTACTCGAGGCAATCCAAACGAACGCTTCTATCGATTTTATTATAGCGTAAATATACGCTAAGGCCCAAGTCAAACGTCCAACTTCATATGAGCCGAACCTAACTGTATTTGGGATCGAATGACTCGTATAAATAGTTCGACTGTCTGAGTCAAATGTCGAACTTCATATGAGCCGAACCTAACTGTATTTGGGATCGATCGACTCGTATAAATAGTTGGACTGTCTGAGTCAAATGTCGAACTTATATATGTCGATCTTAAAACAAATAAAACCAAACAAATCATGTGTAATGTTAATGCAGTCAGCCATCATAATGCCTGTCCATAATCAAATCATGAGCTGCAGTATTCAACTGCAGGAGTCACGTTTACGTGGTGGCAAAGAATTAAATGAGTGCAAAACACACATTAACATGATTTATGCATTTAGAGCGAGGTTCGTATGGGGTTCGACGTTTGACCCCAARKCGATCTACAGTCGTTCTTCCCGACTAAGTGGTCGTCCAAATTATTCAATCTTAGTTGGGTCAAACGTCGAACTTCGCATGAACTTATTTTGTTCAATTAAGTTCGGATCATGCGAAGTTCGACGTTTGACCTAAGGTTAGGGTTACGCCAAAGTTTGGTGGGTTTTTTTTCCCTTCCCAATGTGACATCAAAACTAAGAGCGTTAACCTAGTAGAAGGGTTACCCTACCTTCCTCAAAACAGAACCTAAATCATGGTTCTTACTAACGACTCAAGTAGACCAAACTTCATGTTCTCACCTTAAAAAGAAGCGACGCATGCGCAAGAGCACGGTAGATTTTGTTTTTCTTGCTTTGGCTTGCGTTTGTGCTTAGAGTAGATTTCGTATGACTTTGAAAAGCCATATGCGTGCCTTGCMGTGACTGTAATGTTTTCTAGTATTTTGATTGGCTGATTTTTTTTCTCGCGCAATGTGATTGGTGTGGCAGTGCCGTGACCCTAGTTTGTTGGCGTCCACGCCGTGATCATGCCGTGTTCCGGGTATTTGATTGAATGGAGACTAAATACTCGTGCAGTGTGATTGGTCCGGCGTATGTCTTGCCGTGTCACGACCGCGTTCGTGTCGTGAGCTTTTCGCAGTCATACGAAAGCCGCTGTGCTTGCGTCGCTAGTGAGAACTAGACTTGACWCACACGTGTGCCGGCGTTGAATACCAGTAATAGAGAGTTTTAGATTAGAGAGTTTTAGATTGACTTTTTTTCTCCCCGCAAACGGCAAACGTGACCACGTTTTAATCGTTTTCCTGTACTTTCCTTTACCTTTTACAAACCTTCTCACCAAAAACAAATATTCTTTTGTTTTTCTACTACTTGGACTTTTTTGCGATTCTTTTTAAGCTATTTAAAATAATTTTTAAATGGTCAACTTACGTTTCACGTTTGCCGTGAACGTAAATCTAAAGACTTTTTTTCCCGCAAACGGCAAACGTGACCACGTTTTCATCGTTTTCCTGTATTTAACTTTACCTCTTGCAAACTTTCTCACTACACACAAATATTCTTTTGTCTTTCTACAACTTGAACTTTTTTGCGATTCTTTCTCGGCTATTTAAAATAATTTTTCACTGGTCAACTGAAGTTTCACGTTTGCCGTGAACGTAAATCTAAAACCCTCTAATCTTATCATTGCGTCTGTTCTTCAAGATCCTAGGTATTCTTGTACGAGCTGTTTGTGAAGGCATCAAAGATAATAAGGGACAATCAGGTAATATGTTATRTTTTTTATGCATCTTTTTGTAAGAATGTCCGTGACACAATGACGGACAATGACGGCTGCTCAAACTAGGCATGGGGGGAGGGGAGGGGAGGGGGGAGCTGATGGTATTTAGGCAAGGTGTACGTAACAAAATATGGCATTTAAGGGGGGCCACCCCCAAAAAATAAGCTAAATAGATATTATAAAGCATTCATCTTTTTTTTTTTTACTTACAATGCACAAAATTTCACCAGCTTTTCTGATAAAACAAAAAATGATTTTTTTCTCGCTAGCGTGACGTCACGATGAAAAACCACAATTGATTGCAAAGCTGTGGTGTTTTTTAATATAATTATTTCAAWAAGTTAGTCACCAAAAACCATGTTTTACTCTCTTTCTGGATTCGTGAGCCATTTTGTCTGTCGCTCTGTCAATTTGCAAAGAAAGAAAGAAGTGTATACCATAAGATAGTCGTTAACGTCAAACGCGAAAAATAGAAAAACCAATATACCTTCAAAAAGCCGCACTCAAACGTTTTTTTCCCGGGTCATTTAACAGCTTGCCCCATGTAGAATCAATACTGTGAATATTGTTAGAAGGGTGATAGGCACTTTAAACCTCGCTAACGTCAATTAGGGAAAACAGTTTAATTCCAGTTTTCTTGGGACACCAGGTGTCGGCAAAGATAATTCATTACGAACAACGAAAAGAATATTTTCTTAAAATAACTGACACACACCTTTAATGTCCATCGCAATATTTAAACGGAGCACTTTGTTGCATAACATATGCAARTGAAGCGATGTCACCTAAATATCCTAGTCTCGTAAAGAAGGCTACACCGTTTGTTCGTTAATGACAAGATCGACAAACATGCTTCAATCGCTCGTAAATACAACAGCAGCTCTAAACCAGACCTTCAACGCTCATAGTTCTGCCTCAAACTTGCCGTGTGAACTCTTTCTGGGCGAGGTTTTCAGTTGGGAGTCAACGACTTCATTGATCAAACTCTCCAAAGTCCTGTCAATAGTCATCAATCTGATTACAGCGCCGTTCACCGTCATCTTCAACTTGCTTGTTATTCTCGCTGTAGTTAAGAACCAAGCGTTTCGTAAAGAGCGCCTGSTCGTGTTAGGTTGTCTTGCGTGTACTGACTTTTTCTCGGGTATAATAYGCCAGCCGTTGTACATCGCCAAGGAGATCTACTTTCTGAATAACACTCAGCCGAGCTGTCTCCTGGAAAAAGTCTTCTACCTCTGCGCTTATGTTACTCTCAGCGCTTCTTTTCCCCAATTAGTGGTCGTCACATACGAGCGCTATATAGCCATTACCAAGCCGTACAAATATCCAAGACGGATCACAAGCCGTAGATTAGTTTGTGCAACGGTTGTAATATGGACAGAAGTTGTACTAGAGTCGATTCTGTACTTCAACTACCCGTTYTCTGAGGATTCACTGATGTATGTTAACTTCTTTGGGATTTTTCTATCCTTGGTTATGTTCGGGTTTGTAATTTACTGTTATGTGRCAATTGCCCTCGTTGTGCGAAGGCATAGAAAGCAGATTGAATGCCAACAAAGGAACATGGCAGTCAATACACTACCAAAAAATCAACGAATGCGATGCCAAAAGAAGAGTTCTATGTCAGCTGTTATCATGATAGCTCTTTTTATCGCAACGTTCATTCCTCTTCATGTATGCTATGGTTTACTGAACGCTTATGGCCACGAGATACGTAAACCGGGTCTTTATTTGTTTTTACCCCTAGCCGAGGCTCTCGCACTTATGAATTCCTTTTTAAATCCAATCATTTACKGTTTGCGAACAAATGAATTTAAACAGAAGTTATTGAGGTGTTTTGGGATACGATGGAATGAAATTCAACCGGCTACTACGTTTGCTATGGAAGATGCAGTCATTAATACGGATAGCCGCCAAGATTTTGAATAAAATGTGAAAGGAAAGAAGGAGAGTGAAAAGGAGAAAAATTACTGGACAAGAAAAGACTRAAAGTAATCGAAGAAAGAAAGATATAGAAATTGAACGAACCAACGTAAGGACTTTTAATTAGTGTCGAAATGAAAACGACTTTATACTAGTAAACTGGATTGTATTCACAAGCATCAATTCTACCGATTGAAAATGTTCAC